TCTCTTGACGCCTACAGCTATACAATGCTTATCAGATGGCTCAAGTCTGATAAGCTTCTAGTTTCGAGAGTATATATACATATATATAGGTATAGCAAACAGGGCGTAGCACCTCTACATCTCTTGACGCCTACAGCTATACATATATATATATATATATATATATATCTATAATGGTTATATCGTTACGCGCATATACAGAAATTGCCTACAGGGCACATTCTGTATCGTTTACATGCACGATTAATGTACAATTCCTGAAAACGTATTCGACACCGGGCTACACAATGCGTTGTGTACTAGCTCACTAAATTATTGGCGCATTTGGATAATTATTATTATTTTAATACTCAGGGGGTTAATTAATTAAAATAATTAAATTGGTCTGTAAATAATTATTTTTATAAAAAAAAAATGGATAATTGAATTTAGTTCGGTGATGCGAATAATAATGAAATAGTAAAAAAAAAGAAATAATGAAAAAGATGCAGGTAAAAAAATGCCGATCGCCTTGCACAGTGTTTGTTGACGTTCCTTGATATTCGCCATGACTCCTCTTTATATTTCACGCAAATAACTGATACCGGTTTTGGTCAAGGCTTAACGGCGGCTTTTCATCGTCGACCAGATTTCACAGTACGTACTCGCATGTAACTGCGGTCGTCCCGTATCTCAGAGTGCTGTAACGTTTTCGAGCGACAACCCAGCGGCCTGGCAGACCGAGTACGAATGGAAACGAAAGGAAACAAGCAGTCAGCAGCCTACAGGCCGTTGCGGCAGATGGACGTCTCGATACCGAGAAACTTAGTAATGTAGCTGTCAGCCCGTTTAATTAAGGAATCTTAAGAGTATCGCTAGCTCTGCGATGGGGATGATAGTGGGATAGGATGTGGTTTCGGTGTGTACGAAGCTTGAATCGAGTCGAGTCAGTGTCTCCTGTAGCTTTGGATGCCCGGTGAATACCGAGTGCCGTAGCCGAATGCCCACCATTTTACTTTTCCTTTGAGACGCCGTCGTCCATTGAGGACTGGGCTTGTACTTCTCGGAGTTTAAATTGACTCGCTTTGCCCCCGTACGTTTATTTTCGCCGTGGTACGATACTTCGGCTAAAATCACGTCGGAAAATCTGGACATTCAATATTATAACACGTTGTCGTTTGGCCTTTGTTCTTTTGTTTGCTGTTTACTGTACACACGTGTATAGCGTGGGTTAGATTATTTTTCCTTTTTGACACTTGGGAAAACATTTTTACGTCTCATTTGCAAATTTACGGCTCGAGAGAGCGCTGTGGTTGTTAATCAATTTTTTTTGAAATTGGTTTTTATTTGCTTGCGGATTATGTTTTCCTTGTGGGTTTAAATGTAGTCCCGTGGAATTTCATTAAGGGTTGTTCTCATGTAGTGAATGCTCGATTTAACGTACATATATGGTTTAAGATATGGGAGGTGGTCAGTGCTAGGTTATAGGAACTTTGATTAACAACATGATGCAAGTGCCCATGATACAAGTTGTGAGAGTTATATTTTTTTTTTATTTACGTGATATTTTCTTTTACTAAAAATATAATGCCGTTACGAAGAAATAGGGTATTTATACAAATTTAATTTTTTTTTTCTTTTAATGATAACTACTTCTTGTTGGATCTGTATATCAAGGATATCGAGTAATTAAACGTGCGAGGTGACTACTGTCATTTCTTTTTTCTTTCTTTTTCTCTCGTTCACTCTTCTCGTATGAGGCAGCAGGTAATACTTGTTACGCGCATGACGATAGAGATTGGTGGTTGAAGGGCTTAAATTATGAAATTTATTAGCTAGATTCCGGCAGTACAAGTCTTCTGGTTCCACGATAATTGGATATCCGGAAAATGAATTGGTAGAAAGCCCAATGGACCAATCAGGCAATCGCTTTGGTCTCCTCTCCACGAGCTCGAGATATAAAGCCTTTTAATTCTTTTCCACGAGGTTGAAAGTTCGAGATTCAGAAAGGAAAAGGAAAAAAAAAATGTAAAACGATTTTCCACGGTATGCGAGAATTTATATGGCGTTCTCGTACGACGGGAAGTACGCGGAAAAAAAAAGTGACGTAAAAGTTTGAACAATTTACAAAATAAAAATTAAATTAAAAAAATCAAAATATGTAAAGATAGACTTTTTCAAAATTGCAATCTATATGACAAAACGTGTAGATTAAAAAATTCTTATAAAAAATCTTCAGTGACAGATTCGTGCCTGTGAAGCTTCCGACGGAGATTAACTTCTAAGACGAAACTTTGACAAAAGTTCAATTAACGTTGGAAATGCGGTAACGATATTCGTAACGGATATCGGATAATACTATCGACGTCCGCCGACACCCGAGACCGCATTAAAATCCACGGAACGAATGCAAAGCGTCGCGCGACTGAAAAGCGGCTGCTGGTTTTCGCTGGATTGCTTCGAATGAAAAATTCAGGATTGAATTTGTCAAATTAATTGAATCAATCTGCGTGATATAAATATATATATATACTCCTTGAAAAAATTTAAACGCCAATATACTCCATCTGGTATATTGGAATGGCAGCGTATCTGCAAACAAACAGCCTCAGCCAATTCAGCATTCCCTTTATGCTATCCTCCATCTTCGGTTCCACGGATATATATATATACATACATATATAGTTCATATCTGGCAATGAGACACATAGGAATAAAACGGAATTGATAATCACGTGGATTAGGCAGTAGACTCGAATGCAGCAATGATAATTCCTGAATATTATACCAAATGGAATATATAGTAGACTAATTTAAAAAAAAAAAGTACAATTATTAATCATGCACATGTTGATCCCATCGTTTGATATTTCAAAATTCCAAGTTTTTTGAACATGAAAAAAAAATATTTCAAACAGCCGATATTTGAAGAAGCACGTGCGTTCAAGAAAATGACGTATGTCAAACGTCGAATTCCTTTGGTCTCGAAAATATACCGAGGATGGATTTTGAAAAAAAAAAAATTGTACCAACAACTCGAAACTCGTCGAGTGAGTCTAGTGAAGGAGGGGAGGGGGTTGATCAGAGAGTCGTGAATAAGGGCGGTAGGGGAAATAGGTTGATGCCAAAGTGGAACTGAAGGAGGAGATTATTCTGTGAAAGGGGTTGAAAAAAATAGGACACCAAAGGATTCAGGTCGTTTTGAGATTTTTCGATTGCCCGACGCCTCATCCCTCAAGTCGTGTCGTCATTGTCCTGTGAATCGTTAACTGTAAATTGGCTATAGTAAGTTTGAAGTAAGTTCACGTAATTGCCGTGGGAATTTCGAAGCCCGAATTCCATATTGCCTAGTGCGTTATCTGCGCAACCAATACGCATTATATGTGCGATACGTGTATATACGGTGGGAGAAGCCAGGGGGGATGAAGTTGGAGGGTAAAAGTTATGTGATCGTAAATGAACGGGTCTTAGAAAATTTCGAAAAATTTCATTTTTTGCAGCAGTGAAATTTAGTTGATCGACGTGAAATTTGACAGTCCTCAAATTCGCACAGGAGAGTCTAGGCTGTGATCGATAGGCTGATGCTTCGACCATACTTAGTTAACTACAGTCAATTTATGACGATTTTTAGAACTTTTGTCGTTGTGTGTATAAAACTGGTGCACGTTCTATTCTACGTGTTTTTGATCGGTGCTTTTATTCATTTTTTTTTTATGCGAATTGCTCATTCAGCCGATAATCGAGTATTATCCTTTGAAATAGTCACTTTCCGGGAATATCGGATGAATAATTTGACTGTCGATCACTGTCGTTGCTCTGTTCATTCCGCTTGGTCATTCGTGCTCGCGCATGGCTTGGACAGCTCGCGGAGAACACGTTTTACCAGATTAATGTTGCGACAGGACAGGACAGCTTTTCGGAAGATCGTGAAATAACACGATGTGGCGTCAAATGACGCGTGGACATTGAAGCACTTGTAGAGATTGAGTTGTTGTCAATTTTTGTAAATCAGAAACGAGAAATACGAAAATACTACATCGATACGATTTTTTTTATCGAGGGATGCCGTGAATAGGAATTACGAAGTAATTCATAATTTTTCATAAAAATAAAAATCGTTTTGAAAAATTAAAAAGAAAATTTTATTTTACAAATTGATAACATTTATACCGCGCATAGATCATTATACGCTAATGTGTTAAAAGGATAACTTTCAAATAATTCAAAATATAGCCAATATCAGTATGAATTTTTTTCAATATATTTTCATTTCAACAAGTACTGCGATCGTGTTGGAATTTTCTGACTGTATCGACATGTATGATTCCACATCTACGTAATTCAATTCCCGTAAAACCGACAGAGCGAGGATTTTATTATCACGTATATACCCAGCACGCATCGAACACAGAGCCATACGTACATAACAGTAGGATTCAATTGTAATTAGTTAATTGACCGAATGACGGCAACTTTTGTATAACAGCTGGTACGGCTTATACGCTCGATGAACAGATACGTTCAGTTAAATAATTTCAAATTTCCCGCCACAGATAGATTTGAACCAATACGTCACTCTTAAAGACTTCGATATTACAGGTACATAAAACATTAACACATGCACTCCGTAATTTATGGAAATTAACAAAAAAACTTCGAATGATAACAATATCGAGCATGGAAATAACATTGTATGTAAGATCAAATTTGTTTTCAAATAAATTCTCGGACGTTAAAAACACCATTTTCTCTTCACCAGAAGGACAATGTACAGAGTTAAAAAAGGTGGCTCAACGCTATTTTGTTTCATCTACAATTCCACCCCGAGTGAAAACAGACGAACCTCCTGACAAACTTTCGTCCTCATTAGGAAAGAGAACCGGAGGCTCTCGCTGGTTTATGGCTTATCCTCAAAGAATTTTACGCGTAAAAGAATCTCGACCGTTAACGAGATAACAACTTCATCGCCCGAGGTTGGTAGTCTCTCCGTAGGTACCCTTGTTGCTGGAACCTTATAGGTTAGGTTAGGTTGTCCGACAGTAAGGTTCGTGAAAACGACGAGGGCCTTTACCACCGTCCGTAAGAGAAACAGCAGTCTCAACCGTTTGAGCCTTCTTGGGCCCTTTAGTCGTAAACCGTGTTGTTAAATAGATCGTATAGATGATTATAGGTTTTGAACGTTGCCGCGTTCTAAGGACGCAACGTGTTGCGGTCGCAACGGCGATAATAACAGTGACAACAACGCGACGTGGAAAATTCGACTGAAAATCGCGTTGATTCCTTCTCTACGTGTTTCGTCTAAGCTCCGCCAGGTGGCGCGCGCGCTGTCATGAAAATTATTCTAATCCATTATGGCGTCGACGGGCCAGACGTAAACACGAGGTACTTCTCCAAACGTATAAATAATGCCTCTCGTCGTATTAATCGGTCGCTACGCCAGTCATCTCGGTTCTACACGTGAATTATGTTCCCGACGTCTTTAACCATTTCTGTGGAACTTACATCAAGTATACGACGCTGCTGTTACCGCCGATTAAATTTACCGTGTTCTCTGTGGACAAGGTAACGGATGCGAATTGCAACAGACTCACCGTGAAGTTGCGTTTGGATTTACATAACTTATTCAGCTGTTTATAGCTTTGCCATAGACTCGATGGAAATTGTAAGAGTGCTTATGCCGCGCGAGACAATGCTGTGGAAATTATAGGTTAGGAGAGGCAGTGTGTATATTTTATATACCAGAGGTTATTCAGCCAAAACGGACCACCACATAGTTTTACCATAGGACTGAAATGGGCGCGTTAACTTCAGGTGGTGAGTTTCTACTGAGTAACCCTGTATAGAGAAATTGGCAGTTTCAAATGTTTTCTTACGTGTGTACTTAAGAGAGATAATATATAAAATTACAGTCAGGTATTTATATACCTTTTTCCTGATTTCATTCGTATTTTCATGACGCGAGGATTGTCAGGCGCGTCGTTTCGTTTGCCGTACAACCGCGACACAACGTGCTTCAAATCGTTGCTTTTTATTTTGACTATAGTCCGTCCGCGGTATGACAGTCGACTAGCGAGTTCACTGGAATTAAACCTAGTTTTTTTATAGGGCGCTTAGAATCAATTCATTTCTGGCTTCAGTTCACGAATGCGTTTTATTTCGCATTTTAATCAACGTGTATACACAGGCCGAACTTTAACCTTACGTGTATGTAGGTCAATGCTCTGTCTACAAATTGCAAACTGCGCGTCATTAATTTTACTGTGGGGGAGAGGTGGGTTAAAAAAGATCGTGTCGCTCGTTGCGGTGACGCTTCGATACTTCGTTGTGGTTGGCAACCCTTCCCGTTGATCGTTCGTTCGAAAATGTAAGCACTGACACGTTTATCACTGCGCTACGTTGTGTAACTGACTCGAGCAGTCATTCGTTCGAATATTTCGACTGTGCGCATGCGCCGCAATTGTCACTGTATTTATATTGAACGTTCGTAAAGCGCTTTTTTTTCTCGTATTTTTTAATAATAATTGAATAACGACAGCTGCTATATATATACGTACCTCATATATACATAAACAATTGTTTATGGACACGGTCTAACGATGCGATCAATTTCAAATGACACCCGCATACGTCGACTTTATCTAGACATTTTAAGTGCGACGAACAAATGCGTTTACAGCGTAATTCACGTGCGGGATCGTTTAAGAAAATTGCTTGGCTGTTTGTACCAGTAATCGATGACGTCACAGATCGAAAGACCCCAACCTAATCAAATTGTACGTCAGACTACATACTTTCTCGCAGGTAATAAAATCAAGTTTAAAGGATTTTAATTGGCTTTGTCATTACGTAAAGCGCGAAGGCGACGCCGAGTTACTTAACTGCATGAACTTAACGGAGAGTCAAATAAATTTGTCTTTTCTATTACAGAGTATATATCAAGCACTCGGTGAATTTTAAAACTGCTCGTAAGGTCAGTTTATATATGGAAGATCCTTGGACCCTTAATCAATGCTACCGCGAGGAATTTCAAGTCACGAGACATCGAAGACGGCAAATGGAAAATACGAAATTTCGATTTCGTCCCTGGTAAAGGAAGGGTACAGGCTGGTAATAGGGATCTCGTTGCTTCTCGACCAAGGTGAATTCCGGGAGTGGCATCGGCTGTTACGCAATATTTTTCAAAGTGGGTTGTACCGCTTTAAATCTTTTTAGAAGCACCGGGGTACATTAACGCTGGATATCCATCCCCTTAACCCACTTGGCTCGAGTGTTCGAATTCTTAATGAATTTTCACTGGGAAAGTAATAGAGTACGGGCGAATGATGTACGTGGAAATATGATGAATACGGTGGAAAAAAAAGAAGGGATGCCACGTACGTAAATAGAAAAATAAATTTAACGAATCCAAAAATTAAATCAATTCTCTTAATCACGAAATGGGTTTTCTCTATGGAGTATAATTTTTTTTTACAGGGATTGCGGAATAAACAAGATGACTGATTCGATTTTGAATTGGCTGGCTCTTCGACTTGGACTGTTGCACAATTGGACTTTACGTCAGGAAACAATGGTCTCTATGGACCGGGAGAATGAAGTTTCAACTGGGTGTAGGGACTGCCAGGTATATGGAGGCTGTAGAGAACCAGGCGCATCATAAATCACGACTACGCTTCCAGTATGGCGTTAGAGCTCGGCCTTTTCGGAGGGTCTCAAACTCTGAATGCCACCATCCGGGCAGGTGTAGCCCGTCATTTCTTAACCATTCCACTTCACGGTTCTATACCTTTAAAAGTTCTTCAAAGGAAACAGCCTTGAGATTTCATTGGATGCATGCGCGAGTTTGATAGAGGACAAAAAAATCAAGTTTGCGAAATGTCACATGAATTGATCACTAAATAAGACTGCCTGACGTGATACCAACAATTAAATGTCATGATAAAAAAAAATTGTTTTCTTTCCAAACGTAGCTTTAATTAGTGATAAATTTATTTTTATATTTCAAATTACTCGTGGGATTCTTTTTTTCTACTTTAAGAACATTCAAATGTTTAATATAGTTTTACACGGTAGCTAATGATTCTAATTTAACTATTTCTTAGGTGGTTAAGTTAAGTAGTCGAGTGTTGTGTAAATTAATGATGACGTTCAAAAGACTCGACGACTAAGTTGAATTTTTATGGCCGTATAAGGAAGATAAGCCAGAGAAGCGTAATCGTTTGATCGGCGAAGGTATCTGTGATTTTAAAGATAATTGCTTAATTAAAATGCTCGTAAGCCAACAAGGCAGCCACGGGTATGACCGGCGGTCACTTTTATTATCCCGCAGTCATTTTCATCGTGTATCCGCTCTTTTCTTTTTTTATTAAAATATTTATGTTTACTGTCACCCGTAACGACGGATGCATTCATAAATAAATAAATCGTCTCGTTAAAACTAAAGATTCACCAGAAAAAAAATGGGTATAAAATATTTCTAAAAATTCGAATTTACATCAATCCCAAAGAATTAAGGACGACCAATAAAACTGCCTGCGATACAAAAACGCAGGGCAATTAAAACTTCGTAAAGTGCAAACGAGCATAAGTTAGTCGGGCATATGTCATTTTTGAATAGTTTTGAAAAATGTATACTTTTTTTTTTTCGCATCTGAACAACAAAGCTCTCTTGTTCCGTTCAGTCGATATTGTAACACCCGAAATCGTAGAATCAAGTCGAAATTCGAGCGTGTCGATTAAATACGTACGTAGCGGCGGCGGCGGCGGCTGGTAAAGCAACCCAATAGCAATCAGGTATTTAAATTGACATCAAACAGTGACAGATTGACCACCTGACTTGGTGGAAAATTCGTGATAATGCTGTTCGACGATAATCCATTCATTTTGATCGAGTGACGATTGACCGGAGAGTAATTCCTATCGCTTAGGACACGCGTAACCAATATAAAAGTTACTAAAAAAGTGCTGAAAGTTGAATTAAAGAAATTTTGTTATTACCACTAATTATTATGAATTTTTTACCATCGAAAACAAATTTTTTTACCCAATCATACGTTTATAACCGATCGATCGATTATCAGCGATAAACTTCACCGTATGTACAAACAGTCGTCAATTAGCAAAGCCAGTAGTCCAACTAATTAATAAAGATTCGAGTCACGTGTCCGTTATAAAAATTCCAATTAAACGTTCAAAGCCCATTGACATCCACGTGTCAAAGGAAGTTTCAAAACCATAGGAAACAAAAAATCACTAAAGATTCTGACAAATTAAACGAAAGACACAAAAAAGGCAGAACGAGGTACAATCACGAAGAAAAGTTTTTTCTCCTATTGTTTTTCAACGACTATAGGCCTATTTAAATAATCTAAAGAAAATGCATGTCAATAAAATTTGATTTCGATTTTCCCAAGCTGATAGTAACGCAAACAGACGGTTTACCGGTAGCAGAAGTTGATCGCGCCGGTAGGTAATATAAAATGTCTGCGTCTTGCAATAAGATAAAGTTAACAGGTAAATAAAAAAGCTAATAAAGGTAGAAGAATGCTGGCTTTAAAGGAGTCTTGGGTTACAATACTTGTAGATGGCGAGATAGCGTTTCGTTTCGTGTATATTGTTATATACATATAACAATATATATATATATATGAGTATATAAACTCGTATACAATATTGTATATATATATATATATACACGTATACTAACTTCACCCTGTCCTAACGTCCCTTGTAGAAATTCCCTTGGAAACATCAAGGGGACTTTGTCCCTTCACCATTCCAGGCTCTTCGTACTTCGGTTTCTGTCTTATCGGATACCAAGAAGGAGACGATCTTACCACTGGAGTATTATCGTATGGATCGGGTCAAAAATCCAGTTTCATACTTATAATTGGATATTGGATTTGATTTGGGTTATTATTATTTACCAGTAACAACGCGCGCTTTTTTTATGGTTTAAAAGTAAATTTCATCAAATTCGTCTCAAACTTATACCTTGAACGTATTGGTTAGAAGAAATTAATTTTTTCCGAATTTATCAAATTTGAAAATTTTATATTCATTTCGGATTGAATTGACAAATATGATTTTTGCAACTGAAAAGTTTGGAATTTTATTTTTGTTTGGAAAATTTCTCACTTTGACTTTTTTCCATTTTCATGTCGAGGCGATATCCGATATTATTTTACGATAATTCGAAAATACAGGATTTCGATATAAATATCTCGAACTTCGATTTTCGATTTGCCGTGTTTTTCTTTAAGGATAGGATTTATTATACCGAATTTCAGGGCGCTGTATATTATTTTCGTTATCGTTATCAATTTCAAAATTTCAGACGGGAAATACCTGTAGGAGTTTGTGGATTGAAAAAAAAAATGAATTTCAGTTATGCAAAAATTTCAGGTTTACCTGATTTTAAAATACTGACGTAAATTAATGCAGTCGCCGGAAGTTGGCTAGATTAAAAATATTAATCAGGAGAGAATCGTAGTAGCTGATGTTCCAGTTAGGTGAAGCGGAAACGCGTGGCTGGTTATTTTCGAATTTTCTAGGTAAAAAATAATTTTACGTCATCACATGAAAATAAGCTGAATATCAATTTTTGATATTACGTCTGATAAGCGCTAGAGACGAGACGCACCCGTGGCGTCGAATAAAGTGTTAATGAGAATGGCCGATCGTATTTTAAACGGCATGAGAGTTTGTTTTTGTATATATATTCCTTATGCGCTTTGGCCTTTCGTTACGACGAAAGAGGACCGAGTGTACAAATAGACAGACGTCGCGACGCTACTACGTAAGGGCGTCTCTTTCACATGAAACTTACTTGTAATCGACACGAGAGCCCGTTTGGTTTATGAAAAAATTTTTTAAAAATTTTATCAATAAATTTTCATACCCATCGACATAGTCGTATGCGTGCAATGTTATCAGAAAAAAAAATGTAAACAATATTTTTTAAAAAAAATTGTTACTCTGGGCTTTCACTCAAAACGATTTTCTCGATTTTTGCTGTCGTTAAATTGCAAGGAGGAAGGGGAAGTTCAAAATTTTAATCTCGCAAACAAATTTCTAGAATAATGTCTCCAATACCTATACACTTACATAGTCGTTCCACGTGTTTCTTCTTTTTGACAGATGGGTAATCTGTCAAGTCGCACGTGGCTTTGTATACAATTTTTCATTACACTTTATCCCTGTGCTTAATTTTACAACGTAGTACATTCTATCTTAACCCATTCGCGTGATTCTATCGAAAGTTACCTGTAATTTCTCTAAGAATCGCATTGTTTGCCAACTGCAAAAAGCAAAAAAACCCGGACAGACTATAATTGGCTAGGATTCAGGATTATAACGAGGTAGCAGGTAGCTGAGAACCAGACAAGCTCGTATCGAGAAACGTGGAGCCTCAGGGCTTTAAAACCGTAACATACCCAGTTACATATGTAGCACATATATACCTGAGTATATATACATTGTATACCCCCGCTAAGCAAACCGAATGTTTTAAGGAGTCCAGAGAATGTAAATACAGTCAGTCGCAGAAATTCAAAACGAGTCGTTATATATGCGTAGACATATGTACATATAAACTAAATTGAATCGATAAAAAATCATGAATCACCATAATTAGAATCTCTGCCGACTGTAATTAAACGATGCGCTTAAAAAAAAAAAAAAAAAAAACCGGAAACGATCTTCCGTCTATTTTTTAAATACAAATCGTGCACTTTAACGACCGTCATGTTACCGTCGAATGTATTTTATGGATGTCTATTTAATGGCTAACCATGAAGTACCAAAAGATGTCCCGATCGATGTAAAATTCGTAACCTGATGAAATATCGAGTAAAACTGATATCTGAGAATAATAATATGTCAGCCACGGTACCGTACGAGAAAAGAATTAATATGGTTGAATTCCAGGTGGCAATTTCATAATTTCTCCATTCAATTTTTCCGAATACACAAACGATTTTTTTTTTCCTGCGACAAAACGACATGTGGAAGTACAAATTTACTTGCTTTACATTATTATCGTGCCGGGCTTACGTCGTGCTGCGAGAATATCTGTCGCTTATGGATGGAATTTCGAACGTACGATGATTTAATTAAAAATATGATTAAATGCAACAAAACTGCATATATGGAATTTCCCATTGACTGCGAGACGAGGTAAATTTTTTCATGAAGCAAATGTGCATTTATAAAGAAGATACTGAGATTAAGATTCATCTCACATACGTTATCTTATTTGAATCAAAATTTGCGTCTGCATGCGTTGGCTGTAAGTAATTAAAAAAATTTACCAAAATTTTTTTTTCTCATTTCATAACAACTTTGATTATCGGTTTGGGACGATAAGCGGGCTCGTTGTGACGTCAGATATCCGACTTCCGGTACAGACTCTAACATGGTTCTGTTTTGTTTTATGACGTAAATGGACAGTTCCGATACCGATCAAGTCGAAACGGAAGGACGAATTAGATTTTCGTGTAGTATCGGAGTAAAATGAGAAACCGGAAGTGATTAATAATATTTTTTATATCTAAAGACGAATTTTTCTATCTATTCCATTCAATTACTCGCAATCGTCCCGATTATTAATTAACAGCCGTATAAGCCGTGATATTAAACTTCTCGAAAATCCAAAAAAAAAACAATTCCCACCAAAACCGGTTTCCCCGCGTAAATAATGACTTTGCCAATCGAACGGTTAATTTGGCTTTAACCGTAAATTTTCGTCTTCACTTTCATTGCGGTTTGGCAACGTCGCAAGACGCAGTGTGACGCCGCGGCGCTTGTGGGAATTTTACAAAAATTATAATAAATCCTGCGTTCACGTGCCAAATAGATATCAGGGCTTTGTCTTGTGTATATTTTATTTATTTATTTATTTTTTTTCAACTCTTCAACTTTCCGACTTTCCGCAACCTGCGTGACGTTTTCGCTCGTAAATCAGAGAAAAATTCCTAACCTCCCAGCATCCCTCTTCCTGTGCAACCATCCTTTTATTATAGTACCAACCTGACCCTCGATGAATTTAAGATGAACAGGGAGTCTGTGCATCCATCCTATATGCATTTTTATACATATGTACATATATACATATATTATACATACACTATACTTTTCTGAATCTTCAAGCGTGACCCAAGATCAACAAGATAAATTAATCTTGGAATTATAATGTTTATTATCAAAGTATCATGTCTTATTAAGCCTAATTTAAAACGTGTACATATTTATAAATGTCCAAACGTAATTGGAACTTTTTTTCCTCACTAATATACCACCGCCATTGCACGTGACTTTCAACGGTCACTTCGGCTAATTCATTTCTCCGTGAATATATAGCCCGTACAGATTTACTCTTACGAATGAAAATATATAAGAAACGTAATAACACTAGGTGGCGAATGGCCCCCTGCAGATATTTAGGAGAAATACGTGAATTCTGTTGTTTCGTGCTGCACGGTTGGCTGCATTTACTGTACGAGTGCATTAATGGATCAAACCGAAAATACAACTAGAGGCAGAATCCAAATTGATAATCCTGTTATAATAATAATAATAATAATAATAATAATAATAATATATAGTCTGTCTTTTTGTCTACCGACCTTTCCGACTAAATAAGTACCTGTCTGCCTATTAACTAAACCTAACCTACGCAGCATCCGCTGGACCAGCGATCGTTTCTCGTTTCCAAATTTCTGGTGAAGAAACTTCAGGGACTTTTTTTGTTGTCTCCCTTTTTTTTTTCGTTACACCAAGAAATTCCACAATTTCTTCAGCTGATCGTTGTTTGTCTCGGCTGACGCCGAACGCGATATAATGACGGCCTAATGCCAGGCCTGCCATCTTTTCAAACAAATAACCTTCCTGGGAGCTTTGGTGCATCGCGTTACACCTTGTTACCCCCGGGCGCTGATTAATCATCCCTTCATTAAACATTTGATACTTAAAGTTGGTATTCGTTCTCGAGGAGTTTCCGAAGA